TCAATTATTGGCAATGGTGTAATTAAACCGTTTATGACATTTTTACGGATTCTCAAAATAATAAATAAAATATTGCACTATAATCATCATCAACATAATCATTTTATGAAAACTAATGACTATATTGATATCGAAGTTTTTAAAACTATTTGTGTCAAATAAATTATATATTACCAGCTATGCTGTGTAATCGGACGCCTTTATTTAAACTGTCTGTAGTATAGAAATGCACATATGATAGTAGGTATATCGGATATTACATACATTTGTAAAAAACTCTTTCCAGTAAAATTTAATAAAGTTACTAGTGGAAAAAAATTTTAAACTTAAAAGTGTTATTATTTTTGACTTCTAAAAAGTATAAATGCATTTTATAATGAACTTTTATGTGTATTAAAAAAAATAAAACCGCAGTCAACTATTATTATCAAACTACCGACAGTTTTTCCGCTTCACATTTACCTCAGGTATCCGTAAATAATATGAAAAGAATTACATTAATTTAGACTTTTTCATCCGGTTATCGATTAATGATTTTTTTTTCATCGTTTTTATATTATTAAATCCGATCGACATAAATTGAATTTTAAAAAGTACATTAACTATGCTATGGGTGGACGGCCAGCACCATCGAACACATTTAACGTAACTCGAGCGCAACATTTATTGCGCCTGTCGTTTTTCGTCTCGGCCTCTATGCAAACAGAAATAGTTATTTTAATTTTATTTTTTTTCTACGTTCTTTTAACTTTGACACGAGTTACCTATTTTTATGTATATATATATAATACATACCACTTATACCTATGTTATTATTAAGTTTTTAGTGTTTTTACTGTCAACAGACTACAATAATATTATCATCGCATAAATTGAAGATTTGAGAAACAGGGTACAGGGTACATATATGTGATACGTAGATGACGTTTTTTATGATGTTATAGAGGGTTAATGAGTTTACTATAAACTCGCACAGTTTCATGAAAGAGCCGACGATAGAGTGCAAAAGAGAGACTATTGGGTAGAAGAAAAAAATCATCTTACAACAATAACAAATACATCCGTATCTATATTCTATACAGCTATAACAGGTATATTACTTACTATAACTATTGTTATTATTATGTATTAATAATAATATAATAAACGTGAGTGCAACGCTGCTGCAACTGTATTTTCGCGGTGTCGGTTTGAATTTTATCTAACATAAACGGCCATCGGCGGCGTGTGTATACCTATCGGTGTTAATATGGGCGTACGGGCTGTAACGTGATACGGTTGTGTTGTATTATACTATACTTATAAATATACATTATAGATACTCGTAAGACATAATAGGATAATATGATCAGGCCTCGAGTAATTTGAACGGCAGATCGATGTACTGATGATATAATGCACTGCATGTAGTGGGGTTCTTAAAGAAATAATACGTTATATATATATTCTACGCATAGGTCTTTATGGTTTACGCTGATTACCAGGTAGTAGCTGTACCTATATAGTGCATTATTTAACGATATAGGATAACTATTTCGGTCCGGTACATATTAATATAAAAGACATTAATGTATATATTGCACGCCAAACACGACGATGACAGCGTGTCTATATTATTATACATAGTGACGAGTGACGCAGCGGTGATTGTGACGTTATAATACAGTTTGGGGTTGGGATTTTGAGGAGGGGGCAAGTACGTAGAGCACAACGATTTCGCATGACAGAATTCGTACCGATGTTTTTACAAAAAAAATTGTTTTTGCATCAGTTGGTACTTACAGTTAATAGTTTTGGATTTCCGAATATTTGCGAGATTGTGTCGGCGGCGCTGAAGAGGTTGAGTACCTTCCTACGTTGAAAATATATTTGAACGAGCACGTGTGTGTATGAATTGCTGTTGCAATGTGCGCACCATCGCTGTGTTATACGTACTCGAGAGCCGCCGACGACGACTCTTGAACCCTCCGCGCGCCCATTAATAGAAAATTCAATGTATAAAAAAAAAAAAAAAACAAAAAACAATTTTTTCACCCTCTGTCCTTCGTTGCCCAAAAACCGGTGTTCGTATTTACTCGGCGACGGGCCATTATAAAATAATATAATATATTGTCGCGCGTTTTATTCTATTATGTAGAAGCTCGTTTAATAAAAATTCTAAGCCGACCCTAATCGCGACAGACCCTTTTAATGTGACATTATATTCTGTTATTATAACGAAATCAGATAACGAAAGAGAGAAAAACACACATAATCAAATGCCCCTCGCTGAGATGAACCCTTTCGAACCAACTGCCGTCGACGCTGCGGCTGGCCATGCTTTACATAAAAATTACATATACCTATAGTATCCACGTACATGTGTATATATGTATTAAAACATGCGGTATAATAAAAATGTATCGCATCGGTGTACCTATATGTTTGCAACCATTTTTGTTAACAAAAAAAAAATTTTTTTTGTATATTAATTATTTGCAAACGCTGTTTATTGGTGTCGCGCATAAACGGATAGTCCAAGAATAAATTTTCGTTATAATTGTTATTAATTAATCGATTGAGTATGAACAATGATGACTTTACGGCATTTAAATGGCGTACTATAATTGAACCTTTATACTTTCTTTGTAGGGTTTATCATAAGTCATAACATTATTGACGTCACCGAGCAGTGAGCTTTTCTTCTTAGAGATAGATAACTATCTAGATAATTTCGCTCATACGCTTTATTCAGCTACCTTAAATCAAAATTTAATTTATTAAAAGTAATTTAAATATTAAATTAAGTAAAGTATTTATAATTTCATCAAACAACTTAAAACTTACACGTCATTTATTTATTTTTGTTTAGAAAAATGCATCGTTTAAATAATTAAATAGGTAGATAAGTACTGATGTAGTATTATTATTATTATTATTATTATTATATTGGTATATATTATTTTTCATTGTTTTATACTCAATACATATCATAAACATTATATTTTATATTATAAATACCCCTATTCTCCACTCCTGGGGTTCGTCGTACATGATTTATATGATTCGAAATCGCGGTGTACTTATGTAGCGAAAGGTGAAGCAATATATAACTGATAACAATGACAATACATACTGTAGAGTTGCGAATTTTGAGTAGTCTAACCCTCTTTTTTATTTTATTTAAATGCGCACTGCAGGTATATATAGATGTAATAAATACACCGAGAGCAACCGTAAAGGGAACATCATTATTGGGCATGTAATACTTATACCTAATCATTATTGTTATTGCAAAGCCTTTTTCTCAAAAAAAAAAAAAAAAAACAATAAAATAATACTAAAACGTTATATAATTATAAGTTATAACCAGTAACCACCCTGGTTGACGAATTTGCGGTGTTTAAAAGTACATATACGGCAATGCGATTTTATGGTATGGTCATTATTCCACAGTATACAATTTTTAATTTAATAACTATACGTGCTATAATAATAAAATATTATTATCTGAAATATTGTTGGGCTATCTGGAGATGTGTCATCACTGCAAACTAATGAAACGAAAACACATTTGCCCTAATCAAATAACCTTTGCATCATGTAAATAACGTTAAAGGCGCAACAGATTAGATTTCATTAGCAACTTATTTCCGTATATGTACATACATACATATAATTATTTTTAGTATATAAATTCAATTATCGGTATATTAAAAAAAAAATTCATTAAATCTGCGGTCGTCACGTAATGACGTGAGAGAAAACTTAATTTTTTTTTCGCAAAACTTATAATTTATTTTCTTCGTCTTGTGCAACGTTTGTAATTGAATAAAACCTATATAAGTTCTGTATGTATATTATATATATTCTCACTCACTATACAAAAAAAAAAAAAAGCTATTTAATTAATAAATCACAAAATGGCAATGCTTTTTTAAGAAATATGAATTGAAAAATGAAAAAATAGTTGTGCATCAAGTTTACCTATATAGTACACACGGTGTCTACACGCGTATACGTTAACATCAAAGACTTTTCGCCCTTATTGTATACGTCAATTTTCTTCTCAATCTTTAAAAAAAAAAAAAAAACGGGTAAAAGTATATAATATTTACGCTGGTCGCATTGAGAACGTTTTACGTCCCAGTAATCGGTAAATCGAGTTACGCTCTAGAAAAATGGATATAAATTGAGTTACCGAAGGTATTTTGTATTTCTCTTCATTCCTGGTTGTTCATATAATACATATATATACATGTACACATTTTGTTTATTTTTCCGTGCGACGGTCATGCTGGTTTTCCTTGCCGTGCCTTATTAAATTTACTTTCATTTTTATGTTATTTTTCCTTCACCTTATCCTAACCTGCACGTTTACGACACAATAATAATAATAAAAATCATTTTCTTTCTAGCTCCATGGGTTGTCGGCAAGGTGCGAGACGTTTTTTTTGCCGATTTACCCGCTTCCACCACTTTATTGATCTTATTGTTATTTCCAGAGACCAGCTTATTGCTATAAGCCAAGAAATTCACTGTATAATATTATATATTTTATATATTATGATACATTATGTATTATGTGTACATATATAATTTATAAACGCGCAATTGATATATTTATAATAACCTTATACTTGTGTCTTTTCTATCAAATATGTCTTTACCAGACTATTTGCAATCCTTTTTGTAAATATTAATTTATTATTTTCTTGCGATTCATGTTAGCACTATTCGACGTTATGCGTTATAGATACATATATACATATTATACTAATAAAACGCTTTACCGTATTACATTATTCTTTGATCTCGTTTCGACGTGAGCACGTCGCTCTAGACGATTTCATCCCCGGAACTAAAAAACTCTGATATTATGGTAGGTTAAATTTTTTATGCAACCTATTATACATGTCTTATAATACCATATTATTATAATAAATATTTAATTATGATTTTTACACGAAGAGCAAACTCAAACTTACAATTTTAAATAACCATCCGTCGTTTGTTCGCAGGTATGGTTCCAGAACCGGAGGGCCAAGTGGCGCAGACAGGAGAAGATGGAGGCAGCCAGACTGGGTCTGAACGACTACGTGCATTCGACGATGACCGGTTCGCTCAGCCGGATGCCCGGGTCCAGCCTAGCCCTTCCCGTTGACCCGTGGCTATCACCGCCGCTGCTATCCGCGCTGCCCGGTTTCCTGTCGCACCCGCAGACGGGCTACCCGAGCTACCTGACGCCACCAGTGGTGCATTGCGGTCCGCCATCGTCCGCACAGAAGTCGCCGCCGTCGCCACAACAACAGATCACCACCAACGCCACGCCGCCGTCGTCATCCTCGCTGTCCACGTCTTCATCGTCCGCGGTGTCCACTGCCGACCCCAGGACATCATCCATAGCTGTGCTCAGGCTCAAGGCCAAGGAGCACGTCGAGTCCATCACGAAAGGAATGCAAATGGTCTAAAGCCCCCGCGTTAATTCTCGTGTACCTAGGTATATATATACAAATAACCACCGTAAAAATGTAATGACAATAATAACAATAATAATAATATTAATTCCGTATTCATATCGTAAACTCAATAAAAATTACGTAAAGAATCTTATTTATAATTATTAATCGGTTCGTTTTCAAATCGAAAACATCTGTGTCCTTGTATTATGCAAAAGTTCTTAGTAAAATTTTCAACGATTTTCTTAATATTTACGATATGTTATGCAATTTTCCGTTCGGATAGTGTGTGAAATATGACTAAAAATCGTCATCGATAAGATCATTTACAAGATTTACAGTACAATTGACGATTTATTTCTTAGTAAGTAGGTTCTGTCACTAAAGTCATACACGCCCACTTTCGCGCCCCATCACATTTTGTGTATGCGTAATAGCTACAGAAATTATATTAAATTATTATTGTTATTATTGTTATTATTCGTAAAATTGACAGTTCTCAAATAAATGGTAATATTTACGGGAATATTGTAATGTAATCATAAATAAGTATGTACCTATTTTTATCATTATTATTATTTCAAAATGTACAGTATTATACATTGAAAATCAGTACATTTAAAACTCCCTTGTGTATTTATATATTATATACCTCCATATTATTATACGTAATTAGATATTGTACATAAATCGTATATATTATAATAGTATTATAATTTATTATACATCTAAATATATTATAACCATAAGAATTATTAGAAAATAGGTATTAGAGGTTTTGTTGTTCTCGGAATATTATTGTATAAAATTATTGTAATTTCATAAATATTGTTTTTGATTATATTGAGCTAGTCATTTGAAATAATTTTTTTCTATCACTAAAACGAACGTTGCTCACTAGCAACCAGGGCACCATTGCATGCCAATGTTTAACACAGAAAACATGTAAATAATCATTGTTCAAAAATAAGTTTGATAATATCGTTGTAGCTGTCATTATTAATATTGCAGTGCATTTACCTTTAAACAGTCAAATTAAAATAAACGAAGAAACCATATTTTAGCGTTTATTTAAAAGGTATATAAATACATATAAATAGATATAAATAAATAACTCTAATACCAACTTTGAATTTCAAACTTCATCTAATCGATATCGAATATTATGAATACGGTAAGTTTATCACAAGTTAAAATAATAATTGATATTATTTTAATTCATCTTGTAGTAGTGTAATAATATAATGTATATTATGTGAATTTTGACATTTTATTTTTCGTTGTAGTTCTCGAGTTTCGGTACCTGTAGGTGTACCTATAACACAATTGTTTATTACATTTATAATTAATAACAATCTAATCTCTTATAAGTTAAATAAACACATAAGCTCCCGTAATATCGTCTTAGAAACCCACTGCATTGCAGCTATCGTGCAATTATATATGAGTTTCGATCAAAAATCGTCCGTGCTTAAACAGAATCCACTTAATTGAACTGAGAACGTTGCCATATTTAAATTCATTTGTTGGATACTGTGGAAACAGAATTTCCCCACTGAACATTGTACTAGAGCGAAAAGTGTGGGCGTGGATAATATAAACAGCACCAAACCCAATTAATTAAAATCATTTGGTCTATAGCAAAGGGCTGTGTTCAGAGATTCTTAATTTAGCACATTTGCACTGTTCTACCCAGTACCCACACCCCCATTCAACATTACGTCTGTCCCCTGCACCAAATCATCCACCCACCTTATAGGTACGTGTGTATATATATATCTAAAAGGAAAACTGGCAGTAGCACCGCCACTGCCGGTTGGCCCGCTTAAAACTTCTTCATTACTGGGCGGCAAACACTGAATTAGCATTTTATTAGCTTTTCCCAGAACCGGAAAAACAACCAGCGCACAGGACACCGGCCTTTGATAGACCTTTGAGGGGATCCCAATAACCAAGTCATCTGGATGAAAAAGCTTCTAGAAGCAGCCAGTCTATCTAGTCTCCAGGCCATAAAACCACCTCTTTCTCTGTTCCACCTCAGTCACTGATGTGCTGTAGGGTAAACACTGTTTTCATTTCACCACCGCTTTTGCTGTCCCTCCGTCCCCGCAGAACCAAAATGACAGTTTACCGTTTTTACGCACACAACCATTCTACAGGGTTGTATTTTATTAAATCCTTAAGGCTTAAATTAAAACTATAGCTACCCTCTTATAGGTATACAGAGCGATTACGCTGATGAGTAACCAAAACTATTGGATTTTTGATTTAACGAAAAATAAAATTAGATACCAATAAAATTTATCACGATTTAACTGACATAAAACAACTGCAGTCAGCTATTTATAATAGAAATAATATAGTATATTAAAATGGCAGAAATACATAATTCACACGACATAACTTCTAAATAACATTAAATTTCTTAACTATAAGCGATTTAAATTAAATTATCTATTTTCGGTTTGATATTGCTCTTAATATTCTAAATACTTTAAGCGTACTTATTAAATTATATACGAATAATGAGACTAACATCAGTATACATCCGAAAACTTTACACTTAAAATTATATCCTGTTATAAATTTAAATTTAATATACCTAATTGCTATATTTTAAAATTAAATTTTTACCAGGTAAATGTCTTTCCTGAATTATTGTGAATACTATATTCATATAACTGCACTCGCCCTATATATGTAGCACACGATTAAATGCATCTTATCAATTAATTAATTATACATCGTTTTGTTTACCTTTATAAATGTAAATTTTGACTGAAATACAATTGAAACAATAGAGCAATGTAACAACTAAATAAAGGGTATATGACCTTTATATAAACTTAGTTTTAATCCGAGATTACTGTCAAGAGGTTTGGCCATAAAGACAAAAGACGTATATAAGAATTAAATAATTTGTTAAAATGTCAAAAACAATCCTTATACAATGCATGGGACCACTTATAAAACTGCCCAATTTGTCAATGGATTATAATATTCTTATAGCGTTTATTATAAATATAAATATTAACTTAAATTAAATTAAATATCAAATAATTGGTGGTGGTTATAAGATTGCGCCCTACCTAAAATATATGCAACCTAAATCTTAACTAAATTTTTCACAGCTAAATCACGTATATTAATATTGATATTTTTACAGCCCTATTATTTGATACGTCAGTATTTTTTTCCAATATAAGCTCGTCTATTACCACCTTTATCAAGATATTCGTCAAAGAAAAAATAATATATACGTACATATTATGCAGGTATTTATTTTAAATATATAATATAAATACCACTTGCGTTTTACAACTATTGAGATTATAATGAATAGACACATCGTTTACTTTTTAACCGTTAAGTTTTTAATAAATATATAGGCTTTTTATTATAGCTTAAATAATTATCATTTGAAAACGTCACTAGGTTTCATACGCAAATCATTATTAATGATAATTCACTTTTAACAGTTCTAACAGATGATGTTATCCCTCGTCATCATTCGATGCAAATAGTATATACCCTCTACATTTATGATTATGATACAGTTAATGCATAATTTTTAACTATATTTAAAATAATTTAAATTGCTGCTATTTTGGAGGGGCATCGCCCATTTGCGCCAAAAAATAGGTAATCGTTTTAGGTATAGTCCATTTGCGCCAAAATAAAAAAGGTACTTTTTTTGTATACATTTATAGTTTTGTAATTATTGAAATCATAATTTACGTAATAATAATTAATAAAAATTGTTATATTATATAGGAAAACAATCTAAGTCTTTTTTTAACAATAGCGATGCGCAAACGGCCTACAAAAAAGGTAATTGGTAACAATAGCGATGCGCAAACGTCCTACGCCCATAGATGTATACTATACAGGTAGTGTCCCAAATTCGGCGCAATTGACAAACACCGAACTTAACTTGTTTGTTTTTATTTTATTTAAAAAAATAATGATAAATAATCACTTTTAATGATTAAATGTTTATTATTAAATACCAAGTATACTAATATAGTATTAGCATTATCAAGACCACCAATCACCATAATATATCTTAGAAAAATATACGTAAACGAAGAACTAAAAGTAACTTAACTAAATAATATTATGTAATATGTTTTTAATACATAATATTTTTATTTTGTACAAAGAAATATTATGTACAATGTACCTATTACCTATAAATTTCTGAATCGGTTGAAGTCGAAAATCAAAGGAAATACAAAAGTACAAGGGTGAAATCATGATTTGTCGTTTTTCCAATCTCAACCAGCCGTGTGTTTATTTAACCGAATCGGAGGCCGTTAGAGTTCATTTTATTAAAAATCGCCCATTTGACGTTTACGTCTCAAGTTTCTTTTGATTATTGCTGTGAGTAAAGAGTATACGGAATAAGTTGCATTTGTCTTCGTTTCCATCGCCCGATTTGCTGCGGTCAGCCATTTTGTTTTAATAACAATGTTTACTTCGAACTCTAAAACCCCATCACTATTATAGAGTTTTGAATGAAAAGTTTAACTGTTGAAGGAACGGATTTAATTTATTTTAAAAGATTTCAAAAGAAGACTATAGAATTTTGTTTGAACTAATATTTGAGTATGATATATGCACAAAAAATAACTAACCACGTTCATTTAGATCACTTTGTATTCAAATTCTAACTTTTCGTGATAAAATAGTTAAATTACAAAGAACGTTACAGAATATATTATTATAAATGTACAAATAAGATTTCATTGGTACCAATTCCTATGACGTATGACCTACAACTTTTTATTGAATTTCTCTACCTGGTACTACAATTTTATTTAGGTATGGTATGTTTTACACTGATAAATATTGTTATAATAATCTGATTATTTTAAAATTTAATTTAAATATAATAAAATTTTGTTTCGATGCAAAATTTTAACTTGAAACACACGAATCGTATTACGTGGCTTTATAATACCTTATTGGTTTTAGTGAAACATTCCATAATATTTAAGTCATTCTCTTTATGATTTTTTATTCAATTCAATTATCTACTTAATTATGTAATAATTTTAATTAAAGAATTATAAATGAATTTTCCTATTTCCCATACTTTTGAATTCGTCAACGACCATATCAATGTCAATATTAATATTAGATATTAGTTTTGGTTCAGTTAATATTAATAATAAACTATTAAGTCGGTCTTGATATATATAGTGTACTCCTTAAGTTATTTTTTACTATTGTTAATTTTGAAAATACATGTTCGCGGGAACAACTTGTAACTGTTATTACATTGAATAATTTTAGTACAGTAAAAAATCCATTAAATGATTTTATATATTTATTTGCTTTTGTATAATCTAGCCATAAATGTATTAATTCATTATTACTTATTACTTTATTAGTATTAGTATCTGGTTGAAATTTTATTATACCCCTTAAAAAATTCCGGTAGTGACGAGGGGCTCGACGGGCTCGCCTCGTTCGCAGGCCTATGAGTCTTTGTTTGATATCTAAATGTTCTAATTTCTAAATAATCATAATTTATATGAAGTACTC